ATTTCCTTGACAGAGTGCTTGCAAAATTATGATAGGTAACACTGTTAATACAATAATACCTTGGAAAAATGTCTCGAAGCAGGGAACCCCCGTTTGTTTACTTTTGATTCTTACCTTGTGTATTTTTATTAAACCGTACAAGGCCATTCTCTAAATGAAAGATTAAGTACAATCTGCTTGCATAGAACGACATATGGATGTGATTGACGGGGGAATTTTATATATTGGGGAAATTATAAGCTCTTTAGATTTTTTTAGATTAAAGTGGGGGGGGGGGGGTGATCGATCCACACTTTAGGCGCCTTTGATATTTAAGCATAGATTAGCTTAAAAAAAAGTTTGAAATTGGAGTCCAAACGTACAAATTTTCTTCCCATGCCTCCATCGGAGCAAGAAGTTTAAAATTTGTTATGAAATTATATTTTCATATTAATCGCTACCGTCATTTTCGTAGTCGGGCATTCTTCTTACTATGCAATCGAAGCTGTGGAAGAAGAACTTCATGAAACATTCTTTGCCGTACTCTCTCTCTCTCTCTCTCTCTCTCTCTCTCTCTATTGTATCTTATTAAAAAATGTCTCTATTAGATACTGACAAGCGGGTCAATATACTCGAAGCGCTCCATTCCTTAAAAGCATTTGACTTCTCTCCCTTCGGGGCCTCGGCTCCATTACTTTTGAGGAACAGAACGCTACTCGTACATTAACCCTTTTAAGTGTTTATAATTGTACTAACCATATCTATTCATTTATCAACATCATTCTAGATGCTGGTTTTTCATGTGTCAGTTTTCCTTTTAATGTAATCGTCAAATGTTAAACAGTTTTCTAAATTTTGAAATATCACATCTTTTCATGATGAGGAATGTTTCAATACAATTATTTTTAATAATCAATACGGCAAAATGTCCGTTTCTTGGAGGTAAGAAACTTTACATCCAATATAATTGAACAAGTAAAGATTCTTCATTCACAAAGCTCAGTGCAAATATATATATATATATATATATATATATATATATATATATATATATATATATATATATATATATATATATATATATATATATATATATATATATATATATATATAATCTAACACCTTTGTAATCGGTTATACTGTGAATTCCGACCTTTATTTTAATTTCCATTTTACTATTTTTCCATGTTCATCAGACACCCTGTCTATTCCAACACAAAAAATTTGTCTCCTAGTGCATGTCGGATTTATTTAGACAGGTTTCCCTGTGTATATATGTATATTACACTACATCGGTGTGTAGATATTGTTGATGAGTATTTTATAATTACTGCCGTTTTATTGTTTATTTTGATAATTGGTGATGAATATTGTTGGAAATGCTGTTGATGCTGATGTTATTTTACTCCATATACACATGTATGTGCAAACCTTTTTGTAACAGGTTTTAAAGGTTCATTTGGCAAGGCAAAAAAAAAAAAAAAATCATGAACAAATAATTTAATATTAAATCATAGGTTAAACATTTTCTTATATTTAGTGTGGCCATGGTATTGCTTACTGGCTTCTGACCAATTAAAACTGCATAGATGTCTTTTATGTTGAAAAGTTAAGAAAAATAAAGATCATATTTTTCTCCAGTTCACCAGTCTCTTGATTTTACGATGCATTGAGTTCACCAGTATCTTGATTATAGCAAAAGAAATATTCCTTCAGTTTTTTAAGTGCCTGTTTTTCAGATGCTAAGTCGAATTCCTTGATTCTAAGGCATTTAGTAACACTTGGTCTTCCGGTCCACGGACTTTCAGTCAAGTTAGTGCTCTACGTACCAGGAATACGCATGTTGTGCATCTTTGCATCTGCAATTCTCTTTCAACTTCGAGAATTTCCCACTGGCGCGCTTAGGCATTTTCAGGAAGCTTTAGGAAAAGCTTTTAGTTTTTGGAATAATGCTGAAATACTCATGAGAAACAAAAACAAACTCTTGTAAACCCAAATTATAGCTTAAGCTTTCGATATATATATATATAGAGAGAGAGGGGGGGGGGGGTGTTAAATGTGCAATTTTATCGGCGGACGTCAGTCCGAAAACGGGATGAAAATCACTGAACCGTAAAATTACCGACTACGCAGAGTTGAAGATGTCCTTACTATATACCCTTGTATCTGGTTTTCTATAAAACTAGGATCTTGCGTTTGTTTTGCGTGTCAGTATATATAGACTTAAGCATCAAGGTAGGCAAAATCGTAGTAAAAGTGACCAATGTAAAATGAGCTGTTCTAGAGATGCCACTGCGGACATCTGAGGTTGCAAATGATGATTCCTGAATGAAAACTCTCTGTAAATTAGAAAAACATATGGTGAATTCTTGCGTTGATTTATGCTGTTCGTTGTCAGTACAAAAAAAAATTCTTTTTCCGGTGTGAAACAGCAAAAGAGATATAATTCATAAATATAACGTACATATATACGTGTGAGTACGACAGTATGAGGGGTCTATTATCTGATGATTATACATTGTACATTTATTCAGGGGTGAATTAAAAAAATGACCACCAAACTGAAATTTTTTGGAAAAATTCAACTACTTCTAACATATTTTTCACTTATATCATCATATTGCACATGCATTCTAGTTTAAAATCCTGAAGTGGACATAGAATAGACAATTGGATTAAAAAGTTTCAGAATTTTTATTAGTAAAATTTCTTTTGAAAAAAGAAAATATCATTACACCTTAAAAGACTTTCTAAAATACATAATCACAAGAAATTAGAGTTTTTCATGCTTCAAAATGGTAAAAGGGGTATAAATGATTAAATCTAGACCTTGATTGAGTATCTTCTCTTGTATGTGTGACAAAAAATTGGCTTTTTGATTGTTATTTTACATTATTTTTTCAAGTCCGGTTTGAAAAGTTTTAATATGAAAAAAATATGAAGCAATAAAATTCCCCAAATTTCACTTTTTTGTCCGTTCAAGCTAATTCTTTAAATCTAAGCCAAAAAAGAATTTTTATATACGAGTTCTCTTACAAAAAATACTAGATTTTGAAGTGACCCTATGTTAAATTATTGTGTTGCACTCCTGACATCTGATATGTATTTTATTTAACATTGTTTTAAAAATTGTAACACACAATAACCTATTCTTACTTTGTAAATTAATTTGTCGTTTTGATATTTTTCATCGTTTTCATACTGACAATTTTCATATATTGAAGACCTTGAGACATGATTATTTGCAAAGTGTAATATATATAAATTGTATATAAAACTATATGTGAAATGATGAAAAATAATCCCTGAATTGACTAGAAAATTTCTGTAGTTTGTTGGTAGACATAGTGTTTTGAACATCAAATACATGTAGTATCAAACATTTTTTTAACTCATTTTTTAGTAAAGATAGTTGAAAAGCATTGGTAATTATAAAGCAGTTTTGTTGTACTCCTGACTGCAGTAAAATTTAAAATTTAAACCAAAGAAAACAAAAATTCATAAAGTGTTGGCAACATCAAGTGGTAATGAAACTGTGCAATGTTTATAGTCCAATACTTCATAATTAAAACAGATGAAAGTATTTAAAATTCACATTTTATCTGGAATTATTCCCTATTTATGCCCCCCAAAAAAACTAGTTTAAATGTATATTTAGAAGATAAAATATATTTTATAGCATATTTTCCTTTAGAGGACAAACACGGTAACCCACCAGAAAAATTCTACTCATCATTTTTTCTTTATTTTTATTTTTATTGGATGATTTATAATTCTAACATATTTGTTGCACTCCTGACCAAAAGCATTGGGACCTTTAAAGTAGAAATGTGAAGTGAAAATTACATAAGAACTTGTTTTGTTGTTTCAGTGAAGTTGAGGAGGAATTACAGTGTACTTGAATTTTATGACAATTTTTTAGTGTTTTTTTTTTTAACATTCATTAAAAAAATCACAAAAAAGATAAAAACACATCTGAATTGATAAAATTGAAAAGGAAGGATTTTGATAATAAAACTGTCAATAATTTAGTATTAAATTATACAAAAAGATCATTATTAATTAATGAATACGTCTAAACATGAATAGAAGTGTTTTCATCACACAACTTGAATCTTTAAAAAAAATGTGTTGCACTCCTGACCATAGAAATATATGTAGATCTGAAGCACAGATAGATCCTGTAAATGATAAATCTATTTGGTAAAAATGTTCTTTGTGTCTTTCTTTTCCCAAAAAAAAAAATTCAGAAAATCATATAATGATAATAGTTTTTTCATGCTTGAGAGCAAAACATCAAATGTTGCACTCCTGACATTATTGGGTATGCACATATACTTGACTCTAATTAATGCTGCTTGTGATTTATATAACATTTTTAAGTTTTGAAATGTATATCAGTTATTGATTTACACTTCAAAAGTTTCTTTTTTTTTGTCTTAATTTTCTTTCAGAATTTTACAATTGATGTTTTTTTCGCAACACTACATTTTTTCTGTTGCACTCCTGACCTGGTATAACATTTTTTTAAACACCAGCCATGACCACAACTTGATTAAACAAAAGTTACTACAGCGCACATTTAAAACTCAATACTTTGAATGTTATCAGGAAAACTTTTATTTTCAACAGAAAGCATTATTATTTATTTCACAGATCTCCAAAAAATATTGAAATTTCAAAATGTCACAAAAAGGTGTTGCACTCTTGACAATTTTAGCATCATTTTTGGGCATAACTTTTTTGTTAATTGAGATATCAACGATATATTTGGCAGGCATTTAGACACTATCAAAGACATATGCTGAGACATAGAAATCTATTTCATTGCCTGATTTTTATTGTGGGTTGATAAATATGCGTTTGGTCATTTTTTTTTAATTCACCCTCAGGGTATTTATATTCCCCTTCTTTCTGCACGACTCACACTTCGGGTTGCTTTAATTGAAATGGATATTACGTGTACAAATAGCGTAAACAAAGTTTTGTCTGAGTTTTAGAGGATATTTTATCTTTCACAGCCGACACTGAACCACTTTGTGAAGATCACCATTTCAAATGTCTGAGACGATGTATCCCGGAAAGCTGGAAATGTGATGGTGACTATGATTGTATCAATGAAGATGACAAATCAGACGAAGAAAATTGTCGTGAGTATACTGGTTATGGAAGATTATTAATCTGTAAACTCCCTTGCTCATCCATTCATCGGATGATGACGGCAAAGTGAATTTTTTTGAAAAAAAAAATCAACTTACCATAACATATTATCAATTCATACTGTTTATACATTCTACTTAAAGTATCAGTATTTTTATAAACAGAACTTCATTTGAAAAAAGAAAATATTACTACATCCTAAGAGACTTTTTAAAATATATAATTAAAGGAAATTATATATTTTTTTATCCTTCAGACTTGTGTCAGGGATATAAATGATTAGATATAAACCTTGATTGAGTTTCTTCTCTTGTATATGTGAAAAAAGGACTTTTATGCCCCCGTATCGAAGATTCGGGGGTATATAGTTTTTGCCCTGTCTGTCTGCAAAACATTGCTCATAACTTTTGATTGGTTGGAACTATGGCTTTAATATTTCACATGTGTATTCCTTGTGACATGACCTTTCTTTGGGTACCACCACTTTTGACCTTGACCTTGGAGTTTGACCCAGTTTTACAAAATTTTCCAAACTTTAACATTGGTCATAAATTTTGAACGGTTGGTGCTAGGGCTTTCATACATCACATGTGTAATTCTTGTGACAAGACCTTCCTTTGGATACCAACAAATTTGACCCTTTGACCTTGATTTAGGAGATTGACCTACTTTTGAAAAACTTTAACCTTGGCCTTAATTTTTGAATGGTTGGTGCTAGGGCTTTCTTACTTCACTTAGTAATCCTTGTGACAAGACCTTACTTTGGATACCAACAAATATGACCCTTTGACCTTGGAGTTTGACCTACTTTTGAAAAACTTTAATCTTGGCCATGTCTTTTAAATGGTTGGTGCTAGGGCTTTCATATTTCACATATGTATTTCTTGTGAGAAGACCTCTCCTTGGGCACCATTAATATTTTACTATTTGACCTTGATGTTTGACTAACTTTTGAAAAACTTTAACCTTTTCCATATCTTTTCAATGGTTGCTGCTAGGGCTTTCAAATTTCACTGGAATATTCCTAGGGACAAGACCTTACTTTGGATACCAACATACTTAATTTGCATTTGAGAAAGTCTAATCTTCCTCTACATAAGTTGTCATACGGGGGTATCAGTGTTTCACAAACACATCTTGTTGATTGTTATTTTACATTAATTGTCTCAATTCTGGTTTGAACAATTTTAATATGAAAGGCACATGACACTATAAATTCCCCCAAAATTACCTTTTTTGTCCATGTAGTCAATTTTTCAAATCTAAGCCAAAAATAGAATTTTGATATATAAGTTGTCTTACAAAAATACTAGATACTGAAGTGATCCTATTTTACCTTGTCTCGTTGCACTCCTGACATCTCATATGTTTCTCATTAATCATTGTTTTAAAAATTATATACGCAATTACTTATTCAAAGTTTGTAGAGCAGTTGTCGTTTTGATTTTTTTTTAAATCATCTACATCTTCAATATATGAGTATTTGCTTATATAATATATATTTGAAAATAGATGTATATGTTTAGTGATAAAAGCTATTATGTGAATTAACTGTTAAATGTCCAAAAATGACTGTAATTTGTTATAGACATAATGATTTCAATAACAAATAGTAACAAACATTTTTTGCAATTTATTTTTAAGCTAAGAGAGATTAAGTTCATTGATAATTATAAAACAGTATTGTATCGCACGCACTCCTGACTGTAGTAATATTTAAAATTAAAACCATAGAACAAAAAATCAAAAAGTTTTGTCATCAAATTGCAACGAAATTGTACAATATATGTAGTCCCAATACTTCAGAGTTAAAATGCATAAAATTGTTTAAATTTGACTTTATATCTTAAATTATTCCCTATTAATGTCACAAAACTAGCTAAAAATATATTTATTTATAAGACAAAAGTATATTTCATAGGAAATTTCACTTCATTTGATAAACACTGTAAGCAATTGATGTCAACCAAAAATATTGTACTCATCATTTTTTTCCCCATATATTTATTCGTATTTTATCATCCATAATTCTAACATTTTTGTTGCACTCCTGACCAAGAGCACGCGGGCCTTCAAAGTAGAATTGTGAAGCATAAAATACTGTTTTTTCCAGTGAAGTTGTGGTGGAATTGTTTGATTTTTTTCTAACAATTTTTCATTGTTTTTCTTTTTTAATTTCATAAAAAAATTAAAAGAAAAAAAATAAAAAAACACATCTGGATTGATAAAATTGAAAAAGAGGCAAATTTCAATAATAAAACGGTCAATAATTTAAAGCTATTCTTCAAATAGGTCGTTATTGATCAAAGAATACTTATTAGTATAAATAGAAGTTATTTCATCGTTGAACTTGGATCTTTATTTAAAAAAAAGTGCTGCACTTCTGGCCGTAAAAATATGGATCTGAATCACAGACAGATCCTGTAATCAATAGATTTAGTAAAATGCTATTTGTGTCTCTATTTTCCAAAAAAGAAAGCAAAGAATCATACACTGATTAAAGATTTTCCATGCTGAGGAGCAAAACATCAAATATTGCATTCCTGATGTAAATGGTATATGCACAGATACTTGACTCTCATTTATGCTGTTTGTGATTCAAACAACATTTTTATTTTTTAAATGGTATTTCAGTTACTGTTTTACACTTTGAAAATTCTTTTTTGGTTTGATTATGATACAGATTTTTAAAATCAATGTTTTTGACAACATTAGTTTTTTTCTTTTGCACTCCTGACATGATCTAACATTTTTTTCAACAGCAGCCATGACCATAACTTGATCACACAGTTACTACATTCTAAATCTAAATTTATTCACATAGCCTGCATTTTTAGTAGAGGTTGATTAATATGTGTCCTATCATTTAAAAAAAAAAATCTTTTAGTCATTCAGACCAGTATGATTCGTTCTGTATTATACTGTTAGTAAGAGTCACTTTTTGGTACCTCGAAAATCCTCGTAGACAAAGTTTTTAGTTTAAGAAGGTCATCGGAGCACTTTTTTGGTTCGTTTATGTTTCCCATTTGCTGCAATTTCAAAATGCTGTAAAATTGTTAATTATCTTAAGCCAAAGGATTTCCAGTTAAACAAGCAACATAATAATCTGTTATTTAACTTTTTAGATTAAAATTGAAATTTTAAGTGTTGGATCAGAAATTACTTTGAATTATATGAAAGTATTCAAAATCTATTTTTAGACTATTGATAAAATTATAGAGTTGTCTTTCTTTACTATTTGGTATTTCTTTAAAAAATACATGTATTGAAATGGTGAGAATTCATCATAAGCTGTCATGTAATGTACAAAACAAACTTTGCTTTGCTAGGAAATATATAACCATTGAAATCGCATATGATTTATTTTTTGACAAGCATGATTGTTAGTGCGTTCGAACATAGGGGGCGCTGCAACCAATGCATGATCACAATGCCCAAAGTTATTTCCCTTTGCGTGGTCAATCTGGGGTAAATCGGCGTACCTACTGTTTTCCCTCTATAACATCACGAACTTGGCATACAAATTAAATATGTATATATACTAGTATGTTGATTATGTTTTTCTGTGTTGCACCAACTATGGCAATACAGGAACTGTTCAAAGTTGTCTGGAAGCGTTTGAAGGTGAAAAATATTTACAGGTAAGTTACAACGGATATAGAGAGAAAAATAACCGTTACGCCGACAAAGAGTGATACCTCTTATGAATGTGAAAGTCGTCTATATGATTTCTGGTTGGCACAAAGACAACAGTGCATAGTAACAAATATATATATTCTAGGTAAAAAGACGAACTTGATTACCTTAATTGCTGTCAGAGGTTTCTGCATGGTATTATCCTAGACTTCCACTTAAGTTCTTCAACTTTCTTCGTTAACATCCAAAACTTCTAATCGAAGAGTCGTAGAAACATGAAAGCATGGATGTGAAGGAACTTTGATCATGGAAGTAAATCAGAGATCTTGCAGAAACTTTCTGCAACATTTGATTGTCATTGTTCCGGGTACATCTAGAAATTATGACCTTTAACGTCAAGAACAACAACTTCGGTAACCGTTAAATTTCTGAACATGATTTTTTTTTTTGATAAACAGATTAAGGAAAATAAACCTTTTTCAGGGAATTTCTTCAGATGTTATTTGTGACATTTATTTCCTTTAATTTTGCTGTCATGCATTCTTCTTTTTTGCATGTGAAATTTATTTGAATTTTATTTAGAACTAAATAATCTTGAAAAATAAATTTCGATTCAAGTCCAAAAAATATTTCTGAATCTAAAGAATCCATAGTTTGCAAGTCCTTTTAAGACATCGAAAATACCGTCTACCCTACATATTACACTTTACCCTGAGTAGAGGGTAAATATGGCCTCTATACACCCTTCCTATATGCATTTAAAGGCAAATAAATATCTTTCCAGACCCTCTCCATTCCATCTGTGCCCTAAAATCAACCTTTTCACCCCGTATACATCCCCAAAATCTTTTAAGAAAAATCCTCTATTTTTAAAAATGGCACTAAGGGGTAAAATTAGTAACTGATATATGGGTAAAATTAATATATTTTGAAACACTTTTGCTTTCTGACATCGAATCAGGGGTCTAAAAGTAAATTAGAAATCGTAGTTTCAAACATTTAAATTCTTTTTTTTTTTTTTTTACTTTATTCGTTTATTTCCTATTAAATATTTTATTTTAAATGCATTATTATTATTGATTACATAGGATATTCAAATACACCCCCCCTCCCACCAATATCCCCGGAAAAAAATTGAAAGGCCTCTAATTGTTCCCTGAAGAATGAAGTTCATAGTTTAATTTTTAATCTTAAAAACTTTAGGATCCTTTCCTCAAAGTTTCTGACATTGATTGCCTTGCATTACTCTTCTTTGATTGACTTCAATCCATATCTACCCTGGAGAAAATCCACGGAATTTCTTACCATGATATGGAGTCAAAATTATGAATTTTTCAGCGTTAGTTCCACTAGA